CAATGAATATCCTTTTACAGTCCAAAAAGCTTTTTGATAATTAACCGTAAACTGTAAGATATATTCATTCAAGACCTTACATTTTAAAATTTTGAGTTTACTTTAACAAAACAGACGAACATATATTGCACATTATCAACATAACAGAACAACCGAGGTTCATGAAACAACTATTTTTGAAGTTATAAAACCTCCTCCCTAATGAACACCTACAAACGTTTCTACTCAATCCAACAATAACCGGTACCAAAAAAAAACTTGTTGCTCGCACGCAACATCAAGAAACGATATGGCGGAAAGTAAAACTGTTCAGCCAAATTTGACTAAATGTATTAACAGTAAATAACATCACAGAATTTTGTAACTTCTTAAAATTACAAATAGGATTTCTTCCGACAAAAATCAAACAATATTTGCGAACCGTCAAGGCAAATTTCTAATTGCAAAGAAAAATAATAGCCATGAACTTATATTTTTGCAAAAATGTCCTTTACTCAGGATGTACTGTACTGTAATACATTTATCAACTTCCAAGCACAACGAAAGAAAAAAAAACCAATTTTAACAAAAGGCAAAAACTCCCAACAAATTAGCGCAATAACAACTCTTCTGATCCTCAAGCATAATTAACAAAGATGAAAAAAATATGGCCCCACTTTTAAATTAAAGAATATTTTAAACAAATGCAGCGGCTACAATCACAGAACAATAAATTCTTTTCATAATATGAACAACCCAATAATGTTCACAAAAGTTGCCCAAAAATCCACCACAAAAAAAGGCATATATTCATGCAAACTTATAATTCATAAGAACAAACTTCGCCACACCACTTTGACCAAAACAAAACTCTGCAATTGAAAACGGTTTTAAAATGCGTGCTGAATATTTGGCGCAAGCAAAAATACTCCCAAAAGAAAAAAATATCACCCATCATTTATTGCCAATGTCATTAACGGGGAAAAAACCTAGAAAAAAATTCAAACTCCTTGTAGATCCATTTGTTCAAAAATACTTCTTACGAACCAACTGACAGTTACCGACATCTAATTACCTTTCAAAATCACATACCAGTGATGGGAATTTCATTGAAGCAACAATTAAAAGTAGAAAAAAAACAGATAAATATGAAGTGAGCAAATCTGGTAGAAAATGAAAGGAAGCGCCACTAAACCATGTAAAAATCTTGAGAAATGCTGACAAGAATTATACTTGTCCAAAAAAAAAAAAAAAAAAA